CGGCCCGGCCCGGGGATCGCTCTGGCGGAAGCGGCATTTGAGCGCGAAGGCCAGCGCTCCGCACGGAAGGGAAAGTCCCGAGTGTTCCCCGCCCGCCTTCCCCCACGGCTGCGGGAAAGGGAAGAGGGGATACGGACGGGGAGCCTGGCCCCGCCGCCCCCGGGCAGCCCCGCTGGGGAGGGGCGAGAGCGGGGAGAGAGGGTTGCTGTTGTCAACACGGAAGAAAAACTGTCGGCATCGTGAAAAGAGGGGAAACACCGTGGGTAGTCGGGGGTCAGGTGCGCAGGGAGAACGGCGATGGGTGACAAAAGAGGAGAGGAGTTGCAAAACTGTGGGTTTGTTTCCCGAAGACGCTGTTAGGGTTACATACTTTTTTGTTGCTGTTGTTTGTTTGTGCCCCCTGGCCCCTGATAGAACTTGCCCTGCGCTCTGGCCCAAATAGGTAACCCATTGAGATTCAGATGTATTCAGGGAAAGATTATGTCAGATCCCAGTGTAATCCAGTGCAGACCCCCTCTCCCTGGAAACAATCCATCTTCATGAGATTGAAGACGAGTAGCCTCACAGTTTTTAGGACAAGCCAGAAACAAGCAGAAAGCTCTTCATAAAACACGATAGCTTGTAGCACTTAACTGAACGAAGCTGCAATACAGCAGTGGCAAGGAAAAGCTGAAGACTGGGAACTAACTAAACAGGATTAAAGGAACAGGAAAAACATCTTACCTAGTTTCCTTTGGCCTGGGAATTCTGTTCTTCCTGTTACTACTCTACAGCATTTTCTGTCTAAAAGTTTGCTGACTGTAACATTTTTATGATCTTCTGGGTGTTTTTGAGGGGTGGATTACTTTCTCCCCTCTTTAAGTTGAGGCAAGAGCATCAGCCAGATCTCAGGTACACAAGTAAAAAAAGAATGAAAATTTAAACATACAGATGCACTCCTAGAGATCTCTGGTTTCCTGTTACCAGGTCACAGGCACAGGCATTGTTGGTATGATCTATCTACACTTATTCCTCAGCACTTCTGTCATTAGTCTGCCCTATATGTTATGTTTTGAGCAAGCTGAAATAGCTTTTTTTGTGCAGTCAGGTTACTAGTGATTATTGTAAAACTCAACACCTGATGATCCATATTTGCCAGTGGGAAGTTTACAGGTCAATCGTAACACTTAGAAGCACGTGAATTCCTTTGAGCCACCCCCCTATTCTCCTGTGCCGTGGTGTTCAACATAAAAGCTTCTAAAACTAAGACTTGATTTCTGCAAGTTTTTAATGTCTTTACAAACTTTTCTCCTCTCTAAATACATAGCTAAGTTTGTTTTGCAAAAGGCTTTAATGTGAGGTGGAAAACCAGATGTGTAGTATTGTATACAAAGTAGTTTGTAAAATATACGTGTATGTGACCCATCTTCTCTTGCAGGCCATGTCCAGTTGGATAGCAGACCTACATTAACCACCACAGGTACAGTATAGTATATATTTTTCATAATGAGGTAGTTTGTCTCCACCAGTTATAGCAGGAGCTGTGATTTTATAGCCCACTAAGATGTTTAAGTGAAAAGAATAAATATCTTGGCCTAACCCTATCACAGAATCACAGAATGGTAGGGGTTGCAGTGGACCTCCAAAGATCATCTAGTCCAACCTCCCTCCCAGAGCAGATCACACAGCAACACATCCAGGTGGGTTTTGAAGGTCTCCAGAGATAAGAGACTCCACAGCCTCTTTGGGCAACCTGTTCCAGTGCTCCATCACCCTCACAGTAAAGAAGCGTATGCTTACGTAACCATATGTAAGTCTTTAGTTCTGCACCTCACAAGATGTGCATGTGGTTGAGTCACCATCCCTGGAGGTGTTTAAGAGACAGGTAGATGTTGTGCTGAGGGACATGGTTTAATGGTGCTGATAGGGCTAAGACAAAGGTTGGACTCAACAATTAGGGGGCCAGTTAGCTCAGTGGTTTGAGCGCGGTGCTGACAATAATGACAACACCGAGGTCACGGGTTCGATTCCCGCTCGGTCCCCATGTGTTGCCTGGTCTAGTCGAGAGGTGGTCCCTGCCCATGACAGGGAGGTTGGACTAGATGATCTCTAAGGTCCCTTCCAGCCTAGGCCATTCTATGATTCCCTAGAAATTCCCATGATCTTCAAGGTCTCTTGCAACCAAAACTGTTCTATGATTCTATGTTCCCCACTGTTTCCACAGTACTACCTTTATGTGCATTCTATTAGTGGAGATACTTATGTCTGTACAGTTTAGCAGAAGAAAAGGTTTAAGCCTTGCATATGCTCAGTTGTCATTAGCTATAAATAGTTACACTACCTACTGTGACTCATCTGCTGCATCCAACCCCAAAGAGAATGCTCACCTTTGCATTATCAGCATTACTGAAATAAAAGAAACACCAATGTGTATTTAGATTATGTAAAATCATAACTACTGAGTTAGAGGCTCTGTTTAAATACATACAGCCAGCTAGTTTGTATAAAACCATGAATATGTCTGTACCGATACATGGATGGATGTAAAAGTACGAATGTCTCAACCACCTGAAATTCGGACTGTTGGAGTCAGAACTTTAAGAACAGCCTACAAAAGCTGTGGGTACAGACAAATCCTAATGAACCTGCTTAACTGCATGCCTACTTACCTGATATGTGAATGAGCTTTTTGGTTCACATTAACAGCTAAACTTTAAGGCTGCATGCACAATTTCAAATTGTTCCTTTTTAATGAATGATTTAGTGGCTAAATCAATTTTCGATCTTCTTAACAGATGGAAATCAGAACATCACAGAAGTAGATGCACTTGACATAAGGTAAAGTTTTCATGGCATTGAGATCAGCACAAGGGTTTCCGATTTTTAAGAATGTGACTGGATTATTCAACTCAGCTCCACCCACTTACAGAACACATTTCTAGTTTTAGCTACACCAGATGTAGAACCACCCTTCTTATCATGAAGGCATGCAGAAGGGACTCTTGAGGAGTGGACTCCTTTTACGTTAGGCAATATGCAGGGCCTGTGGCAAAACTACCATCACAATTTAAGGAACAATTACACAGACTAAGTGCTAGAGGGTAGCATAGGAATATGTTCCTCTAGGCAGAGGATAAAGGGACCACAGGATAATGATTCTGTGAATTTATCCTACTCTCCTTTACAACATCATCTAGCCCTGGAAAAGCTAAATTACCTGCCTAGTAACTTCCTTTGCCTCACTCACGCGGTGAATACAGCTGAGGAGAGGAAGAACTATTCACAAGATCCAGGGACTTACCTGCCCAAAATCCCTACTAGCCCTACATCTAGCCAAATCCTAAGGAAGATAAATTGCCAATATCCAGATAAACTCTGGCACTAGTGCAGGTGAAATATCATTCATAATTACAGGGCTAAAGCTTACAATATTTTTATTTTATCATGTTAAGTACTCCAGTTGGGGCAGACTGTAATAAAGCACCCCACTTAACTTTTCGTATTGGTTATGCAGCCAGCACCCTGGAAACCTTCAGACTTTGAACAGCTATCCTGAATTCCCATTCCCTGTTTTAAATCTTATGCAGGTCTTACAAAAAGATAATTTATTAAGGGGCTGTTCATAATAAAGCAGAGAAGCAGAAACAGTTTATGGATAACTTTGGCCATTTTGGAGTGAAACAAAAGTATTTTGCTGATGAAATGGTGATCTTTAAGTAACATCTGCAGGCAAATATTCTAAGCAGTTTCTTCCACTGATTGCACCAAAACTGAACATTCCATAGCAGGAAAAATATAGTAAAGTGCCCTAAATGACAACTCTGAGTAGAGCCAGTCCTCGAGTAGCATGACCTGGACTGTCCTTCTGTGCCTCTGTAACACTGGCCTTGTCTAGAGCCAGGGCTATTGCCAGAAGCATTTTAGTTTCTGTTCTCTGCACCAATACCTCTGTCTAGAAAAGCAGTAATATTGTCTGCTTTGTCTCCCAAGATACAGCCATGCCAACATTGGGAAAAAAACCTTCTTGGCCCAAATGTACATTCCATAGCGTGCTATCACAGACTTACGTTGTGTTTTCTTCATACAACAGTAAAATTGCTGAATGCTACTCCAGACACACAGGTGCTCTGTACATTTGTTGCCATGACAGTTTGAAAGTCCTCTACTAAGAAGCTGGGTAGGTCATTTGTTCTGTCCTTCAGCTTTAGGATGTTGGCTGGTTGCTAAAAACTTAGATAGTCATAGCTTTTATTTTGTTAGCGTAAATAATGCAAATTTGTTCTCCTTTTGCAAGACACACTACGCATACCAGCTTTATAGTCTATTCCATATGATGTAGCACTCCATTTAGTTAGAACTTGAAGCGAATCTCAGCTACGATTCCAGATGAGTACATATGCACTATCCAGTTATGGTAAAATAGTACTTGGCTAAACAGGTAACATGGAGAATTGGAGCCAAGTCTAGAGCGCAGTTACTTTGTTACTAACAAGACAGCTACCTGACAAGAGAAAATACAATACACTGTAAAGAAACTGTTCAACCAACCTGATAGAGCGTAGAACACGCTCCGTTTGTTTTTACTTAATTGCTTGATGTGCCCAAGCTTTTCAAAAAGACCTAGTGATGTTGGCTTTTCCTAAAATACTACACAATTTGAAGTCTTGTCTTTGGGGACTAGATGGTCCAAATCTCTAGTCAATTGAAAAATATCAGCTAGCAGGGATACAGGAAGGGAATTCAATTAGCCATTAGCTCAATTATCAAGAATGTTTCCCATCTCTGGCAACAGGCAAACACTTGATCCTGCAGTGCAATACAAAATGAACCATCAAAGAAGAGGAATTGCACTAATCTTCAATCATGAGCACTTTTTCTGGCATTTAAGGCTGCCAGACAGACGTGGGACTTTTGCAGACAGAAACAATCTGGAACGCAGGTAAGAAACTTCGTTTCTCTACTAAATGCTTTCTTTGTCCCAGTCAGCTTGAACCATGACAAGTGTAAAAAGCTGAACTTCAGAAATCACGGTCAAATAAGCAGTTACCTCAACCTTACATTTAAGTGTAGAACAAAAGACGTGGAAGACGTAAGCGCCTATGCAACACATACTAAAAAAGGTTCAAGGCACGTTCCTTGAAGTCTCAAAAACTGCTGGCACAAGTGCTCTGATATCAGTGAGTCCAGAGCTCTCTTAGAAAACAGACTCTTTGAAGTAACTACAGGTACTACACTTGCTCTCGACACCAGTTTGAGTTAAAAATCAACTTCAGTGGTTTTTTTCATAAGTAAGGCATAAACATGAATATTCATTCTCTCACAGGGAAAACAACTGACATATAATTTGATCTTTACTAATACTGATGTGTTTTAACAATAGTTTGACAGACCTTGGATTTGAAGTCAGAATTTTTGATGATCTGAAAGCAAATGATGTGCTGCAGAAAATTTCTCAAGGTAGGAGGCTATATATTGGTTATGTCTAACTATTTGTAGCAGAGTTTCCAGCTATCTTTCCTTCCCTTCTCTCTATTCATCTAACTTAGAATAATTTTTGTGCAAAAGGAAGTTGTTTAATAGTAGAACTTTAGGGTTAGACTTCAGATTATTTTACTGTAAGGTAAGTGAAGCTTCTGTGGAGAGAACTAATGAAGCTCCTAAGAAGTGAAAGGAAGTACCTGCAGCTGGGAGAAGTTAATAACATTCTTATTCTTGCTTTTAGTTGCTCTTACCTTCAGCGATGTTCAATCATTGCACCTTCAAAACTCTGCAGTATTACACTATCTGAAAACAGGGTTCATTTGAAAAAGGACTGATCAGAGATTAAATGATACAGTACAAATGTACAGTGGTTTTAAGCCTGAAGATCACAGTTAAATCATCTAACCACCACTTGACTATTTCAGCCTCAAAGGATGACCACAGTAATGCTGACTGCTTTGTTTGCGTGTTCCTGAGTCATGGAGAGAATGATCATGTTTATGCACACGATGCCCAAATCAAAATTGAGACCATCACAGACATGTTCAGAGGAGACAAATGCCAGAGTCTGGTAGGAAAACCAAAGATATTTATCATTCAGGTAAGACATCTTGTCTCTGAATTCAGTGGAGATAATACTGATTTACGTCTTCTTGTAATACAGAAGTCAGTTTTCCTGATACCGTCTTTCCACAAGGGAAAGTTTTGCAACTTTAGGAAATTCCTTACAGAATTTGTTCTTTGTGGGTGTTTTTTTCATGGGTTATTTGGTTGGTTTTGGTGGTGATGTGGGTGTTTTCTTTGTTGTTGCTTTTTTTCCTTTTCCTTTCTGCCCATGATCAATACTTGGCATCTTTGTAGAACTGAGAGAATCAATTTAAGGCTTTAGTGTCTCAGAAAAACTGCTTGTGCTAAGTGGTCAAATAAAGCCTATATGTAACCTCCTGTTTCACAGGATAATGCGAGTTGGAAGGGACCTCAGGAGGTCTCTGGTCCAGCCTCCTGTTCAAAGCAGTCCATTACGGGGTCAAACCAGGTTGCACATGGTTTTATCCCATATTTATCCAGATTACAATTAGCAAATTTAGATGAGAATATGGCCTTCAGCAGACTGTAATTGTAGTAGTTTATAGAGTAATTCTAAGAGTTACCTTTTTTCAAATTAAAGTTTTCTTAGACAGAAGGTCACTGCAAGAATCAGCACATTGTCGATTCATCTTTCATTAGGACTCATTTTTTAATACTTAGAAACATTTATAATACATACTTAGCAAATTAAGTGAGTTCAGTTCATCAGCTGAGTTTACAGAACAACTGGTGTAGCATTTACCTCTGGAAATCAGAGGAAGCAGCAAGGATAGAACTTCATGACTGTAAATGAAAGAAGATTTTTCTCTAATGATAGTTCTTAAGCAGTGCTCCTTACCTACTTTGTTTCACTTGAGTGTGTTCTTACCTCCTTATCCTCCATGTTGCCTTTCTGCAACACTGACAATACTGGGCTCACTTACCTGCTTTTCACCAAAAAAACCCTTCCTCAACATAACACATTTGAGACTGAACTAAGAGCATAAGTGTAATAGCATATAATGATGCCCATGCTTCAGAGCATTTGTTCAACACTCCTAGGGAGGTGATTCTTCCTCTCTACTCAGCACTAGTGAGGCTGCATCTGAAGTAATGTGTCCAGTTCTGGGTTCCTCAGTACAAGAAAAATACAGATTTACTGGAGTGAGTCCTGCCACGGGCCACAAAGATGATTAAGGCATTGGTCCATCTCTCATATGAGGAGAGGCTGAGAGCTGGGACTGTTCAGCTTGGAGGAGGTGCCTCAGGGGAATCTTACCAATGGTAGGAGGGAAGAAGAGGAAACCAGGCTCTTTTCAGTGGTGCCCAATGACCGGGCAAGAAAAAACAGACAGAAACTAAAATATGTGAAATTCCATCTCAGTATAGGAAACCACTTCTACTCTGAGGGGGTCAAACACTGGAAGAGGTCGCCCAGAGAGACTGCATAGTCTCCCTCTGTGAAGATACTCAAAACCTGACTGGACGTAGTCCTCAGCAACCTGCTCTAGCTAGGAGGGTTGGACTGGGTGATCTCAGGAGGTGTCTTCCAATGTCAGCTATTCTGCGATCATCTCGGACGTTTCACTGCATTTCATCACCAGTATTTTAACTGACAGAGAATTAAGAGGGTCTTTATGAATCCAGCCTAACCATAATGCAGAAAACCTAACTGAACCCTCTGGTGTATGTCAGAAGTATCATATTAATGTAAGCGAGCTTGGCAGAGGTGAAAGCATAACAGTACTTCTCACCAACAGGCATGTCGAGGTGATAAACATGATGATCCAGTTATTGTTCCGGATTCAGCAGACGGCAGCAATGAATCCAGTGTCAATGAGACTGAAGTGGATGCAGCCGGTGTCTACACCCTGCCTGCTGGTGCAGACTTTATCATGTGCTACTCTGTGGCGCAAGGTAAGTTTTTATATTTTACATCTGATATCTGATACTTTACCGTAACAAACTTGAACAAGCTTCTTCATTTTGCAGTCAAAATGATGAATACAATTCCAGGTCGTCTGTTTTACATGTCTGATAAGTGACATCTCATCTGGGAAAGAATCTCACGTGTTAAGGAAAAAGTGAAGATAAAATATCAAGGTTTCAGTTAATTTGCCAAGCAGAAACATTCTCCTCAATCTTGCTGCTGATCTTTCTGCTGACAGCATTGTAGGATTCTTGTGACTTATAAATTTCCCTGCATTTCGTGGCTGTCCTCTCCAGTCCGCCATGTATCTTGTCCTCAAGACCCATCTGCTCTCTTGTAAGGTGGAGATACAATCCTGTCAGCTACCCATCCCTGAACCCTGCTCCTCTTGCCTGAGCACTACAAGTGATCTCAAAGCCATTTCCCATCTACAGTTTTCAGTGGAATTACATAATTGGCCAAGGAGCATTTACACCCATTAGTAATCACTAGCCAGCAAGCAGTAACTCTCATGAATTTTTTTTGAGTGGCATCACTGCTTACATTTGGATGTAACTGTATGTTCCTGTTCTACAACAGGTTACTATTCTCATCGTGAAACTGTGAACGGCTCCTGGTACATTCAAGATTTGTGTGAGGCACTTAGGAAGCACGGCTCTTCCTTGGAGTTCACAGAACTTCTTACTGTTGTTAACAGGAAAGTATCTCATCGCAAAGTGGATATGTGCAGAGACATTAATGCTATAGGAAAAAAGCAGATTCCTTGTTTTGCTTCCATGTTAACTAAAAAGTTGTATTTTCATCCAAAATCTAAGTAGACTGTTACTTAACAATGATAACCATTAACTACTACTCACTGCAGAAATGAAAGCCACAGCATCTTAGATCAGGAGATGAAAATTCTGCAAGATTGTTTGCAAAAAAGACTGCTGACACTGTAGTTTGCATATATTGTAGTTTCTAAATATCTTAAAACTAGCTTTAAAATTGCTTTATCTCAGGGAATTTGGGAAAAGCTGGCTGGTGCAAAACTATTAAGAGGATTACTTTTTTCTGAAAAGTTTTTCACTGGATTGCTGCCTAACTGGCATGGTTTACTGTTTCCAAAACATTTCAAACAGTGCATTAGATGAGCTTCTCTTGCTCCAAGAGCGCAGTTTACAGGGAATGTGTTTGTAGGGCATCCTTTTTTATCAGCAATATCCACCTTCCGGTTTTGGTGGATACACTGAGCCTTATAGGCATTTTTCTTATTGTCACACTAAAAAGGAAGTTAATTCCTTGAGTATAATTGTAGTATTAATAAAGGGCTACTTTTTCCTCGCAAATCATTTATATTTGGGGCACAATTCTAGCTTGCTGGTGCTATGTATCCTCAGGAGAATAGCAAGCAGTAGTGAAATGTACAGCTTGCTTAGCTTGAGGTTGGGTCAGCTCGCCTTGTAGACATCTCTAAAGCTAAAGCAAGTCATATCAAGGTTCCGGGCTCACTTACAACTGCTGGACATCTCTCGGCAGCTCTGCAAAATACAACATGTGCAACCTGCATGCTTCAGACCTTGGTGTTGGTTCAGCCTCTTCCTCCCAGTTGCCGCAGAGATCAGCTGTACTTGTCATTGTGTTTGTGAAAGTGATGGTGCATTTGTCACCACAGGACGTTTCGCCATAGGATTGTTAATACTGCAGCTTCAGTAATTTCAGTGATACTGATAGGAGGCAAATACTTCTTTTATTATTTTTTTACATTATTGGTACATATACTTAACTCTGGTGGACAACTGAGAACTCAAGCTGAGAAAAGGGTCTTAATCCACTTTCCTGGGTGGAAAATAGTGTATTTACTACTTCTGCTTTAGTTAAATCTTTCCACATACTATACTCAATCATAGATATTAAGTCTTATGTTAAGTCTTCACGTGTGTTTGAATGTTTTGATAAATTCTTTCAGTAAAATGGAAGAGTGAAAAATAAATGATTTTACAGTAAATGAGTTTGATATATCTTTCCTTTCCAGCAATATTTACTGAAAAAGCCTAGCTGTGATGCAAGTCTAACCTTCACCAATGGTGCTATACCAAGAGAGTCAATACATAGAGCTAGGGAAAAGGAAAGAATAATTTCAGGAAAAAAATTAATAGTCAACGCAGAAGTTAATTATTCTGTGAGTCACTGCTGTGTTCTAATAAATGGTACTAAAAAAACCAGCCCTTGTTCTATAAAACATCTCTGTTATTTTACCAGGAGGCAGAATGCCTTCATTTTACTAATGAGATTTGACAAATAACTTTAATATCTGTGCTTCGGCTTTTGCTTTGTAGAGTTTAAAAAACAAACCAAACCAAAACCAACTAAACAAAACCAATGGAACTGTCATGTGACCAAGTAATTTTTACATATATTTATTGCAACTTTCAAAACTATAGTGGTCAAAATTATCCAGTTTCTACTGAGTAACTACATGTTTTTATCAGCTTTGAAAGAGCAATTCTAATATATACAAAACCACAATCAGTCCTTGTCACTGATTTCCTGGATCGGAAGCCTCAGGTGCAGAGGTTGGCGTAGACGCCTCAGGGATTCTTCTGCCTGCCGGTGAAAGAAAAAGTGAGAATTCATCGTTCTGCAGCCCTCTGTTTTCTCCTCTTTCATACATCCAGTATCTTTTCTTTCTCAGAAGGCACTGGTCGTAACATAAGAAGCCAAACTAATCAACTCGAGGACACTGAACATTTACAGACCTGCTCAGGTCATTGAGCCAGTCTCCGGAGAATCTTATGCCTCTGCTCGTCCACCCACTCATCCACACCCCAAAGTAGTATTTTTGTGAAATTACAAATGAAAAATCCATATAGGCTACTGCAAAAGCATCAAACTCTAGCCTTATGTCAAACATGGCTCATAAAAATGATACCTCGAACCACGGGTCTTGAGCTGAAATTAGGGACAGTTTCAATTTTCTTGTATGAGACATAGGGCTGGTGAGACGGGATTGGGGAGCTAAGAACTGAGGAGCAAGAAATCTGCTACAGTTCTTCATGAAGACCACAAAGTTTCTCCTAGGTGCACACTCCACCTGTGGAGGGTGCCACCATCCAGATTCGGTAAATCTAAGCGTTATCTAAGGAATAGGATTGAAACATCAAATGCTGAACTCTGAAATAAAGTTTTCTTCCAAGGAAGGGAAGAAATTGTTTTACCAGAGCAGAGCAGCAAACATACCGTCTCCAAAAGTAATGCAGCTATTCTATTAAAATGGCCAAAAGTGCAATGTATTACAGTATGCAAAAAGTGGATGTGACTTATTTGTTTTAAATTAAATTCATGATGACTTACTGAAGTAGTTTATATATCAATGGTAAACACTGGAGGGTTATTTGAACAGCTGAAACTGTCTGATAAGCAAAATGCTGTTTTGAATGTAAGTAGCAAGCCTTGAGGTCAATTTTCTGTTTGCTGAGAGCGTACTGAAAAAGTCTTAAGCCAGAGGCTACCTCATTATTTACGAACTGTATTTAAATACCTCTGCTAGGTCATCTTTGAGCTTGTTATATCGTTCCACATTAAAATGCTGTTTTTTGGATTTCCGGTAGAAATAGTGGAGGAGCTGCCTGTCCTTAGCATCAGGGTAAATGTAGTCCTGGTGAAGAAAGCAGGGTGCATATTTAGGGTTAGCAAGAAAACTGGGTAGAGGTCACAAGATTAGCTTTACAAATCAGTCTTCAGCCTGTTTCAGGAAGATGTATCTAGTTCAACACATACATGTTCTATTAAGAGGCTACATCTGAACTTAGACTCTTACAGGTCGTAAGGGCCTTTTAGACACATGGTTGGGATCATTTCTATTGCATCTAAAGCATTTGTCCATTATAACAAACATCTTCATGACTGGAGCCACCTGAGTCAATGGACATTACTTCAAAGAAGTCAGAGAAAGTTCAGCTACTATTTCTCAAAGACATATTTGAAAGCCTCAAGCAATAGCACCAGTAGATGTTCAAAGAGGCCAAGTAGTAATCTCTTTACTTACTCATATATAAAAAGTAGGAGTGCCTTAGCCCTTCTTAAAAATTAGTGAAAAGGAGTAAAACTTGCATTCAGAACCAACTCTTCCTAAAAACAGACACGTCTCCCCTTTTCGCTAGAGGATCTATAGATCCATTGGTATTGTGGAGGGAAACGCTGGTTACTCTTCCACATATCTCTACAACAAAGAGTTTTGCACCACAAATAGTTCAACATCAAGATTTCTGCTTTGGGAATAAAGTACAGCTAAAACAGGAAGAAAAAAAAAAGCATTTCTCAAAGTCTTACATGATTTCAGGACAAGTCTGTATTGTGCAGTTCCGTTAAGATCTGGTTTTTTGTTGCTCAGCAAACTTTTTTTCTGATAAACACTACCTGTCTCCCACTCCATTTCAGTGGTCGCAGATTTACTTCCATTCATTCAAAGTCAGAGAAAGGCAATCACATTGTGAAGAAAAAAGCAGTACCGCTTTTTCAAGCACTAAATCAGTGCCTAAAATTCAATAATGCAACTGCCAGAGCTCCAAATGGTTTGATAGCCTGCACCATTTATACATAAACTCTAGCAAAAAAAAGCTACTGTCAGTGGTTCTCTGCCACGGGCAGTGCTCCCAAACTGGCACAGCGCTACTAGTTGATCTCCCTTCACTGTAATGAGCAAGGTGCTATTTATTATTCAAAGTGATCTACAAAAAATGTAAAATAAGAGACTGATCATTTTTCGTTCCCTAGGTTATGAAATCTTACAGATAGTAGTTATGCTCAGTAGCCGAGTTCCCGTGTAATAGTACCTGGTTTGATTTTGCGTAACGTAACATTCCTATCCAGCCCCTTTAGGGATCAAACAAGTCCCTGTGTGACAGCAAGGCTACTTCGTGAATTATAACTTTAATCAGAGCCCAAATACTGCGATTTTCAAAGTCAGGTTACCTCCTTTACAATACTCTATACATTTAAAAAATGAGGACTCACCTGTTTAGTAAGAACAAAGTAGGCATAGAAAGCCATGGCACTCCCATAAGTGATGAAGTATGTGACCGGCTCCATGATGTCCCAGGAATAGACCCACCACGTGAGCCACGCCAACGCTCCCCCTTGTGTTGACATCAGAGCTAAGCCAACCCACAAAAGCCTGGAGGTCTTTGCATCTGCACTGTCCATGATTCTGGCTTTCATCTAAAGGAAAATATAAAAACCTACAGTTTGTCCACTATTTCAGGCTCTTTTGTGGCTTCCTCCCCTCACGCTGGGTTAGCTTGGCCTGCCCTAGATCAACAGTCATACGTTCCCTTCTCGGATTCTGGCAACCATTAATCCAAACAATTTGTCGTGCTGCACTGGTAATAACAGAAAACCTGAGCCCTGAGCCACAGACGATTTCTACCTCACTATTGTTTTTTCTGCTCATAAAGCAACAGATGACAAAGTGGACTTTCAATCCCAATCCTAGCCACGCTGAGGCTTGTTCATGACCGCTTTTCTCCAGGTATTGAGCTTTCTATTCAGGGAATGTGCATAGCAGGAGGGAAAAGAACTGATTTGAAAATAATACGAATTATATGTGAATTGACCCTCGTTTACATAACAAACAAAACCAGGACACACACTAGCCATTCATGCTGATTTTCTTCCATCACAGGACTTGCCTGTGATGAAAGGAAATGTGTTTGAGGTTTTTTTTAAAAGTAACCTCACTTTCCAACCTGTTCAAGAGGCAGCAGCTCTTCTTTCAGATGGTCCAGTTTCTGTAATAATTCTCTTTCTTTCCTGATCTGGTGATCTTCTAAATGTAGAGCCACAAACAGTCTGTGAACCAAGGATTTGATATCTTCCATTTCAGTAGCATGCTCACTACTCAGCTTATCTGAAATGAAAACCTTTGTCAAACGGAACATTTCAAGAACCTACCCTTCTTCATACTCTCCTCGCCTCCAACCCCCAAAAGCAGGACTATCAAATGGTAATAAAAATAAATTCCATTCTCCAGATAGGTTCCACTTTTCCGAGACTTCCTATGCCTTCCATTAGATGAAGTGAGAGTTACTAAGCACTGCTCTTACCTTTTACAGAGGGTGACACACTATACGCTGTGTTGTTGATAACAAGTTTGAAGTCATTCATCAGTAAGACCTCCATCAAGGTTGCATCAGAGATCTTGCTACCATCTGCAGAAGAAAGATTTAAGTTCTAAATAATTTATCATAAAGAAACTTAAACATTAGCAGATATACCTTTGGAAAAGCGCTAGAGCTCTTATTAGTAATGTCCGGAAGGGAATTGCACTTTTGGTAAATCTGGTAACTGATATTAAACAATAAAGAGGAACTCATCAACACAGAGCATGTGCTTGAATACTTTCTCTCGCAGTGTCATTCAGACTTATCACTACTATATGAGCAGACTTGTATTATCTTGTGTTATAACTACCACCAGCATCAACCCACTGGCAAGGGCAGAAGAAGAGGAAGTCTCACATAAAGCAACAACAAATTGCTACATAAAGATCTCCGTTTTTGTTTCTCCGTCTACACACAAGTTTGCATTAGGACAAAAGGTTCACTAGGACTAAGTGTTTCGGGAAATTAAAAGACCTTCAAAGACTTCATCTTCAGTTACAGCTTTATGTCTTTCCTTAAACAGGCTTTTCTAGTCAAAAGGAGTAATTTTTGCCAAATTTTGTCAATGTTACTTGAAATCACTATGTTTCACTACCAGTTGTGACTAGGAGTTAAGAAGTAGATAGCTATACTGTCCAGTACAAGACAAACTAGGAATCACAGAGGCATTAGTCTAAAAAGCTCTGAAGAACCCTTTTCTTCTCTTCTTTTTAATGAAAAAATGTACATGAATACTACCCCATCAACCCAAAGTCTGAATGTGCCCATCCACTTTTTTTTTTACAGTGTAATAGGACATCAAAGCTCATTTGCATGTAAATTATTAAGATGACATTTACCAAGTGACATTTAAGCAAAAAATGCTTTTCAAAAGAAGTGTCAGACAGGGTCTTTGTTTTGGATGAGATACAACACCCATTTATTAACCTGTCCAACCTCTTATTAACTGAAAAGCAGAAAAATTTTTTGGAGAAAGGGAGGTGTTTTATGTAAGAGGATTCCTCACAGGCTTTCAGGAAAAGGCTACTTTCCTCTCCATACCTAAGCACAAGTGTTCAAATACGGACAAAGGGCCATTTTTTATCTATAGAGGTTTCACAGGACAAAATAAAATCCACCAAAAAATGAAAACGAGACATCATACACAGCACCAATACTTTCATTTAAGGTTGGGTTTCATTTAACAGCTAAATGACACATAAGAAGTGTCTGCATTAGATCAAAGTTTCCTATTTTTTCTTTAATAATAAATGTTTAAATTCAACTCTCTGTACTTGACCAATAGTTTCTCTTTACAGCATCGGTTTCCTAATAAATTAAGCATCTAAGCTGTTCTCTAACATTACAATTCCAGCACTTGAAAAATGTAGAGCAGAAAACTGTTTAAATCACTTTTTTAATCAAAGAGAAAATGCTTCTATTCCAAAGGTGGGTAGCTTGTGTTTAAATAGATGAGAGGAGACGAAAACTGCCCAAATTCCTTTCCACTTTGGGATCTGCTGCCCATCCATGCCAAAAATGCCTGACTTACAGGTTTCTTACAGAAATTATCTCATGCTTCACAAGTGACTGATGTTTGTGCTGAAGCAGTATGAGTAGTTATCTTTCACTGATGTGCCACTAGAAAAATTTGATTCAGCAGTGATTCACACAAACTTCTGTCATGGATGTCTCTGCAGGACAGCAGTGGTCGGAGGTTAACGGTTGTCGGTGGAATGTTCTTGGCTAGCCCTGCCTCACCTCAGTAAGAAATCCTTGTTAGCAAAAAATTCTATGTAAAGGGAAAGGAGAGCTGCTGCCAAGGACCATTTGTTACAGGGGCTTCTGAAGATACAAGTCTCTTATGAAATTATCTTTTTCAACAGAATTTTCTACTTTAGCAGACATAACATTAAAAAAACCCAAAATGCCCAAGTTCCTGCGTACACAAAGCTCATGCACACACTGGGATCCAAAAAGATCACATCTCATTGCTCTAGAGAATATCGGTATTTTGCTCTATGGAGCATTTTCCTGGTTTACTGGATGTGCTCTCAAAGGCAACTAAAGCAGCTTCCTCTAATCTGTGGCCTCCTGATTTTCTAGGAGAATCAATCTATTCTTAACTTCTTTAAAAGTCCCTGCAGCCCTCTGCAATAACTAGAAAGAAAGGGAATGTTATGAATGCACCCAGCTCTGAAACTTTGGACCAACCTTCCTTGACTCCATAATTTTTTCTGTTTATATGTTACCTGATGGAGAATAAATCTTTCTACAGGGATGTAGCTATAATTTTTTCTCTTTTCGCTTTTATACCAGAATTAGACAAGAAAGCTACATTTAAGTTCTATTTTTGAGACTGAGTCCTTCTCTAGGATCAGGACAGGGGTTGCAAGAGTTTTCAGAATTGCTGTGAAAAAACTACAAAGCACTGTCAAAACACAAACCAAGCTGTCTTGAAAATAAAACGGAAAACCATTTTAACTAACTGGACGTTAGCTTTTACCGATAGGCAGACCAAAAAGACAAAACACATGAAAACAGTGAGCAGAACTTGAGAAGATTACCTGAAGACTTGGGACAATGGGACAAACGGTATACTACAAGAAGGAAAGGCCACATCAATGCTAACATATCAGTATAGCTTCTTTCTTTCAACGCAAGGGCCCCAGATACTGTACTAGAGCTGATGAATGAAACCTTCCCAAAGTCTCAATAGGCTGCCTTTTATCACTGCACACATTAGCTGGTTGCTTAGCTCTTAGTAAGCTTTCCATTGAGTTCAAAGTTTGTAGTAAGACAAACGAATTCTTCCAGCTCTGAACAACACTGAACAACTGTCAGACATCACATTCAAGAGCCCAACTCATTGTCTTTAAGAAGGATCATGGAGGACAAGGAAAGAAAAAGATATCAGGAGAACCAGAAGAGAAACACTTGTCTAAAGACAGCATTACAAAGAGAAGCTACCTGCAAAAAAAACTATAGAGAACACAACGGGGATGTACAGGAGGTTACAGTAATATGTCACAATCTGCATTTTTAATCAGCCTTTCCAAGAGGACTCAGATATTAAATCTGAAATACCAATAAACCCCAGAAGCATTCAAGAGCTACCCAGACAGCAACAACGCTAAACCTGATGGAGGACTAAACCTGTGTTTCAGGAGAAAAGTACAGTTCAGGACAGAAGTTACAGTCAGAAGTACTTGAAAAGGAATGTGTTGATTTTGAGGAGTAACAAAAACGTAAGATACCTGTTGCAAAGACTTCCGCCCGCTCAATTCCTTTATCTTCTCTCTGCACATCCTTCAGGAATGTCCCTACAGTGGTCACCACTGGCTTAACAGTGAACCGACAACGTTCACTTCTTGTGGGCAGTGTAAGAGTTATCACAGGAAGACCATGTCTATAATTAATAGTTACTTCTAGGGGGAAGGAAAAAGAAAATCAAGTGAGAAAGTCATACCGTATCATAGAATCACAAAATGGTTTGAGTTGGAAGGGACCTTGAAGATCATCTAGTTCCAATCCTCCTGCTGTGGGCAGGGACACCTCTCTCTCACCAGACCAGGTTGCTCAAAGCCCTGTCCAACCTGGCCTTAGGGGGCATCCACAACCTCCTTGGGCATCCTGTTCCATTGCTTCACCACTCTCATGGTGAAGAATTCGTTCCTTGTACCTAATCTAAATCTACTCTCTTGCAGTTTCAGGCCATTGCCCCTTGTTCTACCACTACAGGCCCTTGTAAAAAGCCCTTCTCCAGCTTTCCTGTAGGCCCCTTTCATGTATTGGAAGGCCACTACTAGGTCACCTCTTCTCCAAGCTGAATAATGCCAGCTCCCTCAGCCTGTCCTCAGGCTAATGGTAAATTACAGTTTAATCTAAAATTGTTTTTAAAACACAAGATGAACAAAAAACCACACTGAACATTACAGATTAATGAATACAGTACTTCTGTTTCTGGGAAATATATCTGTGTGTGTGTATATAACACACAACTAACATTGTCTTGCCCTACTTCCACAAAACAAATGAAAAGCTTTTTGACATTGATGGGAACGGGGAAAACCTGCTGGGGAAGTGTACCGTCAGATGGCACCAGCATGCTGTAAGGTGCTCCTTCCAGGTCTCTCCAAGCTCCAGCGTGCCTCCACAGCCACACCTGCAGCAGGATCAGAGGGAACTTGCTTTAGAAAGGTTAGGATACAAGACTGACCTGGTCAAAGGCAGCACCCTGGTCACAGCGATCTACTTCTGTGTGAACTGACAGCAGAGGTGTCAGTCTGAAGAAAACCCCCTTGATTAGCAATTTCTACGTAAAAGATGGAATCATCCTTACAGACAGCACAAACATTGCCAAAGGTGTTAAGGCATTTGGCCACAGTTAAATTTCTTGTCTAACTTGGTTTAAATAACTCAAGGAAAAAGGTGTAGAGGAAGAAAAGAAAGGGGGTGGCAGGGAATGCAGTGGTTTTGAAGTGCTTCATGTAGCTCTTACAATGAGTACTCTCCTCTACTCCCAAAAAATATTCGCTTGAAAAACCTCTACATTGTGGTGCCTGAAGGCAGAAGTGTTCTGCAGCAGATCAGAGTTCACAGTGTAACTTAAAAGAGTAGGAATGGTTTCAGTGAAGTCTTTATTACTGCTTAATCATAAACAGAGTAACATGCTTAATAATCTCAAATAAAATACAAGTGACTGAGGTCACTCTCCTTTGCTTCATAATTATATACCATATAACAAACGTCGACTGTTGACATTCATTGTGTTAAAAGGCAATAACAACAACATGACTTGCCAAAGCATGGAAGATTTTTTATTTTTAAACATGAATGGCTGTTTCAACTCCATCTCAGATGCTGCTGCAACTAACAGCACCACCAGCCTCTGGTACTGCATCAAGGGAGGCGTGCTCAGAGGCAGTAAGTATCCTCCGCGCCTTGGCACAGGGCTGAGAGCAGGCTTTGGAACCTGTGTGGTTGTGCTCCCACAAACACTGGTGATAACAATCAAGACACTTCAACATGGCCATGTCCAAACAGAGAAAATAAAACTGCTCTGATTAGACCCATGTATTTAAAGCAGTTCAGCCACGCTGGGGAAGATGCAACTACTCCAACACAGTCCCTCTGCACAAAGAGAGGAACAATTTTATGGTAGTGACTCTCACAAAGCACGTATTACTCCTATAAACTAAGCATAACAGGCAGAAGTAGGAAGGGAAATAACATCCCTGAATAAGCTGGTTACCAAAATTGCACATGGGCTGCTGTATTAAGGCCTGATGTTTGAAATATGATAGTTGGGGGAAATAGAAAACGACGTGGGGAAAGATGACAAAGACTGATCCTCCCTCTGCAGAGCTTTATAGCTCATCTTTCTGAAGGCCAATATATTTCAGAGTCTGCAAAGTAATCTCCTTTAACAAGTCAGGAAAAGAAAGCTGCAAATGCAAGAGGCTTCTGCCCATTCAGTATGCCAAGCACTGCTCACCATGTTCACATGATTTGCTTTTGAAGAACTAGAAGCCTGACTGTTTGGATAGGAATATGCTATTAGGTTAAGTAAAGAACTCATCTGAAAAATGAATCTGTGTGTTTCACAGAGGCTGACCTTGCCCTAGCTTTCTACCTGGAACAAGCACTGTTCAGGATTTAAAGAAAATAAATCATTCTGGGAGTTTCCAAGACTGAGAAATGTGTGTATTGTAATCTTCAGGCATCAGAGACAATCAGAAACCTAAACTAAATAGCAAAATACCTTAAACACAAGAGTATTGTTTAAAAAAAACCATAGACACTGATAGTGTAGGAATGCCAAACGGCCACCCAGAGCTCCAACCTGTGCAGTAACTTGCCTGTTTCTCCAGCAAAGCAAGAGACTTTGCCTGGACCAGAGAAGAAGACACAGCTCAGCTCACCAGTTCTCACACCATCTACAGGGGGCACCTACGCTTGCAAAACATTTAGTACCATACAGCCTAGCAGTAGGGCCCTCAAAGATCCCAATTACAACAGTCCATGGTAATGCTCAATAGCCTCGAATATAATGCCAACTATATTGCTTCTTCAGAGGGATATATTTAAAGACCTAATTTTTTACAGACACTTGGTATATAACTTTGAAATCAGTATTTAGATATCCATCATCCAATGTGCCCCAGGCACTGAACTGCACCCAGCCTGTAGTTCAAGCTTACTTAATTTCTTTTGTTGTGAATTTAGATATCTACTTTATTTATGGAAGAAACAAGGCATTCAACAATTAACACATATCAAAACATTTAGATATATTAAATATACTAAGTTAAAAATATTTAATAAATTACATTAATTGAAATACATATTGAAGGTATTTCATGCTATTATCCTTTAGACTTTAGCATTACCATTCATGACACATTGAAAGAATCTCTAAGCTTTTATATTTTTTTCTTTTTTAGATTGTCCACTATGCAGCCTACTCATTAAAATCACCTGCAAAAAATGTGAAGAAAAGCAAAGGCCACCAAGCCATAGCACTGAACTGAGTTCCAAATGAGTTCTTTCTATATAAGCTCTAGGCTGATTAATTGGGAAGCATGAAGGGCTGAGTTAACTTTCTCCCTGTGCTTCCCAATTTCAACCTCCAGTTTCAGTGAAGCTATTAAGTCACTAGCTTGCATCCTACAGCCAAATCAGCGTGCATCTTTTCAGGTGCTTGGAACGGTCCCTGCCCTACCACTGGAAATTAAGTTGGCAACCACTGCAGCTAAATGGAAGACCTGAACTGGAATAGGATGAACGTAACCTGAATTAACTGCATCACAACTTTAAGATACTCTAAGGAGGACAGCATGCTACCAACTCTTTCATATGCCAGTACCTGCACTTCTTGGTTAATTTATCTAACCACAAAGGCTGAAGAAAGCAATTCCACATCTTTCTGCAACTCGAACACACATGTGGCAAGACATCTGGCCAACACCTCTTAATACATTCAGAACTATGTACAGGAATTGGGCCAAAGGCTTGCGAACTCTATTTAGCTGTGAAACACCCTTTCTCCCACAGGTATATTCGCTTTGTAATACAAAACACGTGGGAGCAGCAGTGGGCCACAGTACACTACATCTCCTAGCTCAGCTCACGGCATGGACTCTGGGAGTGAAATCTCATGAGAATTTAGGGCACAGAGTGTTAATTGTGATAAAAATAATCCAATATAATCCGTTAAAAAATACCAGCTGGTGCAAAACAGAAAATATATATGCAGTTTAAAGATATACTTCCTCTCTTAAGAGCACTTCCAGTCTCTAATAGCAGAGAAGTTAACACTGTGAAAGTCAAGAGTGAAAATTTCAATGCTCTGTTTTAGAGCACAGCTTTAGGGACTAAAGCAGTCAGACACGAGGAGTGGGTAAGACAGGAATAGTGCTACTAATTTTTTCACTTTTGAGAGCAGCAAACGATTGAACCTACCTACACTGCAGTTTCTGGACAGCAGTTTCCTGCTCCAAATAAGCAATTTCTTATGATGTTGACTGACTGACTGTTCCTGCAAACTTAAGCTCAAATTTATGTGTGATGAGTTACGTTTAAGAAACTGGTATCGACACTATCAGTATATCAAGTGATGTGAAAGCCTCTTATCTTCCTCAGCACTGCATATGCAAAGACAAACCTCACCAGGAACCATAAATTCTGTTCTGTGGAAAACTGTAATGTGAGTGGGAAGGGAGAAAGCTAGAAATAAAAATATTTTTCTCATGAAAAAGTGACCTTGAAAAACTAATTCTACAAAAGGATGTCTTTAGGAGACTTTCTGAGAACATGGAATTATTGTCTTTTCACAGTTATTTATTTCATTTTGATTTGCCATACTAAAATGTTGTAAAATATCTAAACCAAAATGCACTTAGCAAACAATCACATATTTGAAACTGTTTTGTCTTCACTTATATACATCTCTGAATATTTGGTTTCTTATTTCAACAACAAAAATAACATAACAATCCTTCAGCATTTGAGCCCCCACTAACTTGCATTTATCAGTAGAAAGGTAGTTATCCCAACCATAAAAAGAAAAAAAGTCAGCTCAACTCCCTCTGCCCTCTTCTTGCAGTGATGCAGTACTACAACCGAATTATTACTTTCCTCTAGCATGAGATGCTGTCAAGAATGTCTCAAGCCAAACACATAAGCAGCCATCACAAACTCATTCCTGCAGACTGTTTCTGTGAATGCTAAGGTCTCCTATAGTGTCATCTCCTTCTTTCTAAGACAACGCTAAGGATCTGAAAGAGAAAATCACCCTGCAGAAAACCACACTGATTAGAACGTATCTTGCAGTGTGCTTTTCAACAGTAATATACAGTGTTACTGTCCTCTTGGCAGAAGAAGAGACAGCTCCTTGTCCAACACCTGGTACAGCTCATTCCACACAGCTGCTGGAGAAGGACTTCGGGAAGGGAACAGAATGGAGAGAAATAATGGAGGAAACCACTAGTTGCAACGCCTGAAAATTAATTTTGAGGTCTCTCTTTTTAAGTGTCACTAGATGTGCCAGCATCCCCCGTTCACATCATTCTCCCCATGAGTTGACCTTGCCCAGCCTGTGGAAAAGGCAAGATAAGTCATCTCTCTAGATGCTGCTTGCTTGTCTGGAGCAGGTACATGTTATCCATTCTTCAGTGAAGGCATGTACTATAAATACCTGCTTTATTTTCCATATTGACTTATATGCTTTTCTGTAACAAACACACCTAGAAGTTCTCTGCATATGAATGATGTCAGCTGCTGTCTGATTCTCCAAGGGAAATAAACCAAGCAATTAACTAATGATGTAGTAACAATCTGCAATTTCAGAATAACAGACATTTCAGAAAGGTATAAAAGCAAGGTAAAGGAGGAAAAAAAGCAGGTGCTGTCACAGTATACTGTGTGCAGATCTTGCACAACCAAGATTACCAGAAATGAATCAGTATTCAGACCAAGTTTACAATAGCTACACATTAGGCATTTCCCTTTTTAAAAAGAGTCACCAAGGCCATTTTGGAGTTATCTGCCCTTAAATTTCTGTGCTGTTTTTATAAGCAATCCCATGAGTAGGAAAATAAGACATAAGGAGCCTTAACAACCGCCTACAATTATCTTAAAAGTGTCCCTTTGAGCTATGGAGACACCTTCTCTCTCA